GGCGACTATCAGCTGATCCACGTCTTCGACATCGAGTTGGAAGAGCTCGACGACTGTGTGGACGAGTTTTTGGCCAAAAACACATCACTCGTGGATCAGTGCCGACAACTCCTCCTCCGAGTCCACAGCCATAAGACACACCACAACTACGCGAAGACATTGGGCACCGGATTGGCCGGCGCTGGAGGGCTGGCGCTCATCGGCGGAGTGGCGTTGACTCCATTCACGGCCGGACTGTCGCTAATCGTGACCCTCGGGGGCGCTGTGGCCACAGCCGCCGGAACCGCTACCACTCTGGGAACAGATCTGGTGGACCACGTGATCACTAAGAGGTTCTTCGAGGCGCTGCACGCGTTGGCCACCGAACGCAACGAATCCGCCCAACGATTGGCCGCTAAGTTGTCGGCCTTCGACGCGGCGCTGAAGAAGAGGTTCCGTTTGAATCGCGTGAACGATGTCTTCGACGACGGCTTCGGTTTTGTGACACTAATCCAGTTGTTGTCGAAGGACTCGCTGGCAGTCTATCGGATGGGCGCCGAGTCGTTGAAACTGTTGGACGCAATCAAACAATACCACGCAATACAAGCGGCCAAAGCGGCCACAGATATGGCCGGCGGAGGGGTCGCTGTGTTGCACACTATCGGCCAAACGCTGACCGCCGGCGCCACACATGGTATTGATGTTTGTTACTCGATATTAGCGTTTATTTGATGTGTGTTTTCATATTGTTTTGTATTGTTTTGAATAGCATTTGGCACCACTTTGAGGACAGCGGGCGCGACGACTGGCAAACTGGTGCTATCGGGAGGAGTGGCGGCACTCGGGCTCGTGTTGACGGTCGCGGACGCCATGTTTCTGGTGAAGGACTGGCATAAAGCGCACCCGACTGTGGAGGCCATCGACGCCCTCATCAAAGACCTGGAGACCGATCACCAGTTGATTGAGTCAATCCATACGATGATTACGACGGCATTGAAAGCGGATGTCGTCGACAATCAACTCATCGATGATATAATCAAAGCTATTCTCACCAAAAGTACCCCAAAAGAGGTCAAAGACAATGAGTTTGACTGAAAGCTCATTGAATTTAAACTTTATTTAAAAATATATCATTTTATATATTTCTGTGTAGTTATCGCTGATTTACTGATAACTTATCAGTACTTTTGATGCAAAACTTTATGCAATTACTATATTTTGATAACTTATATTTAGTCTACTTTGCGAACGAAATTGTGCCTTAAATAGTTGTTACAAAAGTGATAAAACAATATAATATTTAAATTTATTTTAATAATATTATAAACATTACATGTACTGACAATAATAACTTGCGTTTATAATCTAAAAGTAATAGTAAATATTTGTACAAAAAATCTAATAAATACTTCACACATTCAATTGGAGTGAATTATGTTCTTAATGTTATGCTGTAATGAATGCTTTGATATTATAATTTAGTTATCATCGTGATTAAAAATATTGATAATCCAATATTATACCACTTTTGTGAAGTCATGAAATTATATTTATGCAATAAATGACTGTTTAAAATGTATGCAAATTTATAAATTACATTTTGAAACAGCTGACCTAGGTGATAATTGTAATATAATTAGTTATAATTAATATAGTTTGAACACATCTTCGCAATTGTTTGGCTTATATGAGACCCAAAGACACTTCACCTGTCATTACGATCAAAGACTACAACACAAAACCGATGGCGAAGAGCAGCCAATTGGGAGCCGAGTTGAACGCATTGAACGACTTAACGACACCAGTGGACCACTTAATGCAGACCAACTCATGCCTCGCGCGGGAGTGTCGCCAACTGGTCTGCACTGTTATCTCGCATAACGACTGCATTCATATGACCAAAACGGTGGCAATTAGTACGTCGGCGTTGGCGACACTGGCGGTCGTATGTGGCGCAGAGTGGAAGCGTTTCAACGGAGCCCTCACTCCTGTGTCCGAAATGTTGGGAATAGGAGGCGTTATGTATGCAATCGGTGGTGTCGTCGCATACGTGGCCACAAATGTGGCCGACTATATCAGGTCGCGTGGTTTCCGCATGGATTTGGATCGACTCCTGGAACAGCGCTACACCTCTTTGAAAGGCACAATCGATGGCTTCGAGGCCTCCATCGTTGACACGTTTGGCCCCAATAGTGTCCCCACCGATGGATTACGCATTCACTATAAATACCTCATTTATAAATTGGGCGAACGTATGAATGCCCGGATGGGAGTCCCTAAAGGATCTGACTCTCTTAGTGGCCGCTCTGTATTCTACTCAATAACCAACGGTTTGTATTTAATAATTGTCACATATTTTAACATATAGTAATTCTCTCTCTCTCTCTCTCTCTCTCTCTCTCTCCTCCCTCTCTCTCAACAGTTGTAATGCAGTTATCGTTTCCGTTGGCATTTATAAGTTTGGATACATTAACCAAATGGCAACTTCCGATGGCTATAACTGCAATAGGTTTGGCGGTGACAGTCGGGGATTTCGTGTATATGGTTCGGGACCGGAATAAAGCGCACCCGACTGTGGAGGCCATCAATGAGTTGATCACTCATTTTGAAAGCGATTACAAGACTATCCAATCCTTACAAACTATGAAACGCATAGAATTATAGACTAAAACTGATTGATTAAATAGTAAAATTTATAAATCCTTTTGCAATTCTGTTCAATAATTTTTATTTCGTGTGTTTAGTGTTAATAAGTTTTAATTTGTGTCATACTCTGAATTAGGGTGACCAGAAATTTTTCAACAAGGGGAGGGCAAATTAGCAAATTTTCTGTCTCAGGGGAGGACGCGGGAAGGACAATATATTTTAGTATTTTAAACTTAATTTAATATATCACTATTTTTATATTATCTTCCATTAGATCAATATCTCCATTATTTTCATTGTTATAATAATTATTTGTTAATTTAAAATTAAAAAATTTTAACTGTTGTCCTGCTATAATGCAATAATTTTTAAACCTCGACAAATTAATATAAGACATCTAAACCTTTATATATAAACATAAAAAATTATTGCTAAAAATTATTTAGTTAATTTATTCTGTTAATTTATTCTGCTATTTACATTTATTTGATCACATTATTTTAAAATAATGCCATTTTTCGAAAAGAACTTTTAAAACTTATTGATTTGTTTTATAAAAATGTTGTCAAAGCTCAAGCATAATTAATGTAATTAATTTTACTATAGGCATATACTAATAAATTAATATAACAAATATATAACTGAATTTTATGCTTAAAAGAGTGAATTATACACAAACTTGTAAACATTTAGATAAGAAAAATTAGTTTTTATTGCTAAGTTTTCAATATCACTCGGGAGGACATTGTATAGTCCTCCCCAGGGTCTCGGGAGGACAGTGCGCAAAATGGCTCAGGGGAGGACAATCCTCCCGGCGTGAGGACGTTTGGTCACCCTACTCTGAATCCATAATTGGCATACAATATTCTAAAATGTAGTCCAGCATTAATGTATACTATTAAATTAAGAGTCTTAACTAATTATATAAAATCTTCTCAAATAAATATCTTGCCCATATGGCAATATGCCCATCTGTATGTAAACAAAGATAATTGCATTAGTATTAATGCTACATTAAGTACCTGATATACCTGGTATATTGGTTCATTACTGAACAGCCTCAACCCATATAAGCCCTTTGACAGCATCACATTTTTAAAGTACTACTTCCGATATATTAAATCAAAATTTCTAATATTACTTTTATCGCCGAATAACTGCTAGTTTACATTAAGCTAAACATTACCATATATTTGTGGACAAAACTGGGCCAACAGTACCAGACATAAACACAATACAACTCATCACTTATGAGCAAATGGACGGCGAATTGGAGGAAATCAACGTTTATGTTAAGGAGTTTATGCACAAGAATTCACTGCTGATCGACCAGTGCTGGCAACTGCTCGCACGAGTCAACCAACACAATGAAGAATTGAATAAAGCAAAAGCGGTGTCTATTATGACGTCGGCGTTGGGCGGAGTCGTCATTCTCGGTGGTGTAGTGTTGGCTCCATTTACCGGCGGTCTGTCCACCGCATTGGTTGTGAGCGGTTGGGGTATCACAGGTATCGGCGGTATAGCATCGATGGGCACCGAAGTACACGACTTTGTTGAGTCAAAGAACTTCTACGAACGCCTGCGAGAGTTGGCCGTCGAACGTAACGATTGTGCCGTACGTTTGAGCAACAAATTGGAACGCTTTGACGCGTTTCTGCGGCAAAAGTTGGCTCTGAATCGGCCCAAACGCGTGCCCACCGATCACAGAGACGGGAACGCTATCGCGAGACAATCCATTCACGAGGGTTTCAAAATTGGTGTCAATGCAAAGGACTCCATCGGCGTCTGCAAAGAGTTCCAACACTTTAAAACGGCCCGAAAAGGTCTCTCACAGAGCAACGGTTCGTACCATTCAATTCTCTCTCTCTCTCAACAGTTGTAATGCAGTTATCGTTTCCGTTGGCATTTATAAGTTTGGATACATTAACCAAATGGCAACTTCCGATG